ATCCATCTGTTTGAAGGTCCTTCTCTCCTTCACTAGCCCTCTACCCTTCTAAGCATTCGATCCTTCTCCAAGGAATAGCACCTCCTAGCAACATGTCCAAAGTATGTGAGGCAAAGTCTCATCATTCTTGATTCCAAAGACCACTTCAGCTGTACCCTCTCCAAGACATAGTTGCTTGCTCTCTTGGCTGTTCATGGGATGATCAGTAATAGGGAAACTAAAACCAGATTTTTTATCTAGCTCTATATTGTTAAAAAAATGGGAAGTTTCACCCATAACCCATCACCTTAGCCAAGGAAGGCACTACTGCTGGAGGTGTAATGGACGTTAACACCATCTACAAGAGATGCTACAGGCCACCCTCACCCAACATGGCCTAGCATGTAGAATTCACGAAGCTGCCAAAGCCTTAGACACGTGCCAAGCCCATCTTTGTGTGCTTGCTTCCAACTGCAATGACCCTTTGTATGTCAAGTTAGTAGAGGTCGTTTGTGCTGACTACCTAATCAATTTGATAAATTAGAAACTAGGGGAGTGGGTGGGGCCCTGCAAAAATGACCGAGAAGGAAAGCCCCGCAAAGTGCTTGGCTGCGGCTGTTGTAGTTGTTAAAGACTACTGCAAAGAATCCCAGGCTGAGGATGTCATTGGAGAGTATTTCAAATGCTAAGAGCTGAAACTAACACAAAAACTTGGCATAATGCTTTTTGTGTTATTGGGGGGCAGGTGAGGAACAGTAAAATGGAGATTGCACAACAGGAAAAAAAATAGGAAGCTTCAAGAACACACAGATAACAGCAACTCTGATCTTCCACATACAAGTGCATAGCTATGGGTACAACAGTGCTTAGCCCTGCACTTGCGCGTGCGTGTGTGTGTGTGTGTGTGCGTACATGCAGCATTGAGTTAGGTCCAACTGGTACAAGAGGAGATTGTCCCTCCTTCTCCAGCAGCGGAGTATCTGGTGGATTCGAACCACATGCCTTCGGGATTACAGCACAGCTTCTTGCCACTAGGCCACTAGAGCTCCCTTGCTGCTATGTTTTAAGGCACTGACTCTGAACTGAAAACTGTGGTGGCTACCAGTTTCAGGGTTGTCAAAATTGCCTGAGGTCAGCCTAGAGGTTGAAAACAGCTGGAACCTGTCTCCTCCTATAGTTTCCTATAGTTAGTTAATCTGAGAAAACAACTCATTAGCCTTTGCTGTCTCCATGGACAGTATTCCCCTAAAATAGTCCTTTCTCCTAAACCTACCCACACCTACAGTGGGCTGACTCCTCTAGCAAAACCTGAGTTCATAGTATTCTCCCTCAAAACCAGTTGCCAAGAACAGCTGCTCTGTCTCCCAAATGGCTCAATCTTGATATCATCTGACTTGACCTTCCAGGCCTCTCCCTGACAGACTTTGTTGTGTGTTGTAAACTTAATCCCAGCTCAGAATAGACAAAGTAGAACTTCCTCAGAGGGTTGCAAGAATGTGGTTTTATGGATGCAAATTGCCACATCTTTTTTTTGTACAGAGCAGTGAGTGGGTTCGAACAGACCTCCTGAGTGGCAAGCATCAGGGCTCCTACTTACTGTTACATACAGGCAAGTTATTTACCATTTGCACCTTCATTTCCTTATCTATAAAATGAGAATAATAATAATAATAATAACAATTGTAACTCATAGTGTTTGTGAAGATTTACTGCAGTAATGCATACCAACCACTTAGAAAGTGCCTAGGTTATAATAAACCTTAATAAAACTATGTAGCATCTTGATGTAGAACCAAGATGAAAGGAATTTGAAGTCAGAGGTCTCAATTTAAATTTTGGTTTTGCTGCTTGTTAATGCTGCTACCTGGAATTCTGGTGACCTAGTAGATAGGGTACTGAATATCCTGTGTATGACCAAAAGAATAAACAGATGTGTCTTGAAGAAGGTGCAGCCAGAGTGCTCTTGGAAGCAAAGATGATGAAGCTTTGTCGCACATACTTTGTGCATGTTGTTAGGAGAAGTTAGTTCTTTGAGAAGGTGGAGGAACAGCAAAGGAGAGAAAGATCCTCAACCAGGTGGGTTGACACAGTGACTGTAGCAATGAACTTAAGCCTTTCAGAAATTGTGAGAATGGCACAGGATAGGACAGAGTTCAGACCTGTTGTTCATAGGGTCACTGTGAGTCATGCTCATCTCCTCGATGGCACCTAACAAGAGCAGTAGATAGGGACCTGGGTTGCTAATCTGAAGGCAGGTGGTTTGAATCCACCAGTGGCTCCATGGGAGACAAATGGGCAAACTTGTCCTGTGTGATTTATAGCCTCTGAAAACCTGGTGGAGAGTCAGCTATGAGTCAGTTCTGACTTGACAGCAATGAGTTTGTTATACTTGTTAACTGAGTGACATTGGGTGAATGATTTCATCTCCTTGAACTTCAATTTCCTTATAATTTTGTGAATTATTATTTCATGTACTCTTTTATTTTATTTTTTATTATTTCTTGTGTGTACCATCAAATCAGATCTGACTGGTACAGGAGGAGATTGGCCCTCCTTCTCCAGCAGAGCATCTGGTGAATTTGAACCATGTACCTCTGGGATTGCAGTGCATCTTCTTGCCAGTAGGCCACAAGAGCTCCCTTAAAGAGATTTGAGATTTGCCTCTCCTCCACTTTATTCCCCATAGATGGAGCCCAATTGAGATTGCAGTTCCCAGTGACTCCTAACAGGAGGGGAGTAGTCTATGGGCTGTGTGAATCTGGGAGTAGGAATCAGACATATATACTCTGCCCCTCTCCCTTTTTTTTTCCTCTTGGGTTTGGACAGCTTTGCAAAGAGCATGTGATCCCTGCTGCAACTTCTGGGAAGAGTCACTGAAATGATTGTGGAGATACTGGATCATTCAAAATCAAGAAAGAGAAAGGAGTCCATCAGGGATGTATTTTGTCTCCCTACCTTTTCAATCGGTATGCAGAACAGATAATCCGAGACGCTGGGCTGTAGGAGGAGGAATGTGGTATCAGGATTGGTGGAAGAATCGTCAACAACCTGCTTTAAGCAGATGACACAACCCTGCTCGCTGAAACTGAGGAGGACCCGAAGCGCTTGCTGCAGAAGGTCAAGGACTGCAGTCTTCAATATGGATTGAAGCTCAACATCAAGAAAACAAAGAGTCTTACCACTGGGCCAATTGGCAGCATCAGTGTTGATGGTAAAGAGATTGAGATAGTTAACAGTTTTAGTTTACTTGGCTCCACAGTCAACACTCTTGGTAACAGCAGTCAGGAAATCAGGAGATGAATTGCATTGGGGAAGTCAGCTGTGAGGGACCTCTCAAAAGTACTGAAGTGCAACGACGTCAGTCTGGAGACTAAGGTGTGCCTGATCCAGCCTATTGTCTTTGCAATTATGTGCTATGCATCGGAAGGTTGAACAGTGAATAGGGACGATAGAAAGAGAATTGATGCCTTTGAGTTGTGGTGCTGGAGAAGAGTGTTGAATATACCATGGACTGCTAGGAGAACAAAGAAGTTTGTCCTGGAGATGGTGAAGCCAGAATGTTCCCTGGAGTCAAGGATTCTGAAGCTTCGTCTGACATACTTTGGGCATGTTTGCAAGGAGGGACTGGTCCTTGGAGAGGGACATCATGTTTGGGAGAGTGGAGGGACAGCACAGGAGAGGAAGACCCTCGATGAGATGGATCGATTCTGTGAGTGAAATGGTGGGAATGAATGTGTTTGAGACAGCGAGGTTGGCACAGGACAGAACGGCATTTAGGGCTCTTGTACATAGGGTCGCTATGAGTCGCAAACTACTTGATGGTACGTAACAACAAACAACAACTTCCAGAACTCTCCTTGATCCTGCTCTCTCAATTGTGGGGTTCAAATTTTGAAGCCCATTTCTCTGCAACTATACTATAAGTCAGTGGCGGGGGAGGGTTGTTTTTTAAGCCAGGTCTTTCCTCAGAGGTAACATGGGTGGACTCAAACTCCAACTTTTTGGTTTTTTTTGTTCATCTGGGGTTTTTTTGGAGGTTACAGTAAAGGCAGTTGACTAGTGAAAGTACATCCCAGAAAGAGGAAGAGGCCGCTCTCCACAGGAAGGAAAGTAATGGAGAGGATGAAGGGTATGAGGGGTTAGGTGCTCAAATCAAAGCTCCAACTTTTTGATTAGCTGCTGAGTGCATTAACTGTGTCTCCCACGGACTCTCTAATTACTCTGACTGCCATGGCGTTGGAACTGACTTACAGCTAGCCCTCTAGCTAATTTCCGAGGCTGTAAATTACATGAAAGAAGATTGCTCATCTTTCTCCTGAGTCGCTGCTAGTGGATCCAAACCACTCTCATATTTATACAAAACTCTGAGATGTATAGAGAACTAATGCGTATATCTCACTAAGCCTTACACGAACTCTAAGAGAGAAGTGTAGTTAGCTTTGTTTTCAGGATGAAGGAATTGGGGCTTAAATAGTTTAACAAACGTACTCAACTTTATGCAGCTAGTTAGTGGCCAAGTGTGAAACTTGCACCTCCAATCAGTCCTGAGTTTGTTTCAGGGCACCATCACCTCTCTATTGGTCTTTTCTGACCTCTGAAGAAGGTTACTGAGACATAGAAAAGAAACAAAGGAGAAGTCAACATTGTGGGGGTTTCCATGAGATCCTTGAAGACTTTATTTAAGATCCTTCATAGACTGCTTGCTTGGCTGGCTCCTCCCTCAGTGTTGGTCAGTAATGCTGAATGAATACTGTGCACTGAGCTTTGTATCAAAAAACTTCGAAGGGAGTCTTGGGCCTCAAGGGCCCGATAGGCTGAAGATCCAAGCAGAAGAGCTGGTAATCTTTCCTCTGGCCTGGGAAAAGACTGGCCATTACTCTTCCAAAACTGCCGAATCATCCCATCAGATGATACTCAAACAATTTTGCAATTCCATTCAGGCCATGGTCTAATTATTTTAATAAGGGAAGCAACAGACATGGTGCTGAAATGAGAGGAACTAGATAGGCAGGGCTAGTCTATCACATAATTTGAGCATAGACGACAGGGTCCAAGTCTGCAGAAGGCTTTTCAATTAAGTGATTGCTCTTTGCTTCTGAAGGGTCGAAAGTCATGCTAGCGTAGGTGAGCGACTCCTCTGGAATGGCTGAAAGCTGCCAAAGAAGAACAGGGAGGAATGAGTGAGGGGAGTGTGGTGCAAGGACTTGAGTTTCTCTTTAGAAACAACCTGAGGCCCAGAAAACTCTGGTCCAGATGGCCAAAATAAACCAACCCAGAAAGTCACTGCTCCAGAAGTCTAGAGAGTAGCATCACCAATGACAGTTATTAATAATGCTAGGTAGAGATGGAAAGGCCACTGGCAGAAGGACTCCAGTGTCCTGGAAACTGTGGTCACCTTACCTTAATTGGATGCTCTGAGTGAGGATCCAGGGACTGGGGACTTGAATGACCTGCAACAGGGTCAGGAAGAAGAGGAACAAATGTCATCAATGGAACCTGGGAGATTAGAAGCCTTTCCCATCAATCTTAGGTGGAAGTGAGGGCCCATGTAGGAAGATGTGTTGGAGGTGGAAGGGTGGAAGGTAAGTGGAGGTATTTGAGGTCTTGATTAGCACAGAGGATGAGCTAGGCGAGTTGTACTACTCCCATCTTATCCTCCCTTTTATTCACTCAGAGCCAATACCAATTGTCATCAAGTCGATTCAGACTCATGGTGATGTCGTGTGTGAAAAGCAGAACTGTGCCATGAGGTTTTCAAGGAATGATTGTCCAGAGGGAGATCACCAGGTCCTCATGTTGAGGTACCTTTGGGTGGACAAGGACTTCCAGCTTTTCAGCCATCAGTCAAACCTGTTCACTGTTTGGACCACGCAATGATGTCTATTCACTTAGGGTCCGCTCAATTTTTAAAGGCAGAGAAAGAAGACCTGTCTCGTTTCTTGGAGCCCACTTACACTTTCTGCAGCTCTTTATGATGAGGAAGATGAAGGCCATTAAAAGCAGTGTCAGTAGTACCCCAGCGAAAAAGGCCAAAATCAGATGAAGAGGTTCTTTGCTGTTGTGACAAAGAAAAGGAGCAGATGAACTGCTGAGCTTTTGGAAAGCCTTTCCTGAGAATCAGAGTATAAATAACCCTTCCCACCTATGGGAAAACTCCTGAAATGGCTCTCATTCTGATTGGTTGACTTTCACTCCTACCTGTTGGTTTTCAACCTTTGATTTCAAGTTCCAGATCCTTTTGAGAATTCAGTGGAAGCTATGAACTCTCTTCTACTTCTAAATATTCTTTTAATTAGATTTTTAACAATTCACAGACAATCATTCATACACATTGTGTTTCTTTCATGTATATTACATTTATACAATCATTCATATATATTGCATTTGATACAATTCCTATTTATCTATGCCTATGATCACTCCAGCTCTTCAGGTCCTTTTTGAATCTTTCTTATTCCTTCACTGTCCCGTCACCCCCCTAACTTCTGTCAACCTAGCGATTTTCACCCCTTTCTCTTTTCCTGCTCTCTTTCTCTTCTCACTTCGCCTTTTGAACATTTATACAGACCTCGCTCAGTTACCCTCCTATCATCTCAGTAGTACTCCTCTGCAGTATTTGTCTTTATGTGACTGAGTTATCTCACTTAGTGTAACGCTCTTTAGACTCTCCAATGCTATAGTATTTTATGAAATTGTTGTTCTTTACTGCTGCAAGAGTATTCCACTGTGTGAATGTACCACAATTTCTCTCAGTCCCACCTCTAAATATCCTTAGGTCCACACACATGTCCTATTTAGAGACTTGTGGATCTCCTAAAGCTCTAAACAGATCTGTTGCAGTTGAGCTAATTCCAATTTATGGTGATTCCACGTTTTACAGAGCAGAACTGTTTCATCCGGGTTTTTGGCTGTAACCTTTACGAAAGCAGATCACGAAGTCTTTGTTGCACAGAGTCTGTAGGTGGATTCAAACAGCTAACCTGTAGATTAGTAGTTGAGAACACACTACTTAACTATGCAACCCTAAGGGACTCCTAAATCTCAGGGAACCCCAAATTAAGGATTTAATTTCAGATCAATAAATATTAAGATAAATTTAAGATCAATACGAAGACAAATGTGATTATTTTACTGTTTCTAGTCCATTCTCTCCATCTCCGGTTCTAAAACTCTCAACACAAACACCATATGACATGAGATGAAATTGAGGCAAGAGTACTCATTTACTTGGGGCCGGCAGGGAGGCAGGGTGCAGAGTTAGCTGTTGGGGCTGGTGTGGAGTAGATGTCTTCTCTGTCTACAAGAAAACGTGAAAGGTATTAACGAGTCTGCTCTTTTCATGATATCCTTTCTGTTTAACTATCACCAGATGTGTCATCTTACACAAGCAATCAGTGAAGACTAAAGATGGGCAGTCACTATAAAGAAAGGAGAGTGTTGTTTCTTAGACTCTGGATCCTTTCAATTAAAGTTTGGAATAGAACTTAAAAAAATTAATAACATCAACGAAAACAGGAAAAGTTTAGAGTTTGGCAGTCATGTGGGCCCTTTGATAAACCTGAACACTCGCACTCCCTCTTCAAAGATTTTGATAGGAACTCTCAGGAGCTATTCCCCCCTCTGACCTACACCAGCTTGGTTGGAGAGAATGAAAGGTGAAATCTAAAATTGGTGGTTCCTCTGTGTGACTGCGGAAATTGCTGCCTTTTTGGTTTTGCTTTTTTTATTGGCACGGTAGCTATTAAATTGCCTGGACAAAGCCAGCCATAACAAGTTTTCAAAATGCACAGGTTAGGACAGTGCTCAGATTGGTTGTTCATAGGGTCTCTATGAGTCGTACTCAACTCTGTGGCACCAAAAAAAAAACAAAAAAAACCAACAACCCAAAAACCAACAACAGCCACCACAGCCAGGGCACTGGCAAGGAGAACGAATGCAGTTCTCCTAAACTGACCTAGCACATTCTCAAGCATTAAAGGTGCCCTTTATTTATGTTGAGAAATCCAAGTGGTTCTCCCTGGCTCCTCTTTTTTTCTTCTTCTGACATTAGATGCTGCACTGTAGTAAAATCTGATTCTCTAGTTTTAGAAATGCGCTAGGCAGTGCCACCCCATCAGTTCTTTAGCTTATTTCAAGCCAGTAGTGAGGCAAGTGATGGTTCTTCTCATGAACTCACCCAGAGGAAATTTAGGTTTGGAAGGATATCCTCCCATGCTGTCTTCTCCTGAGAATAAATAAAGATATCTCTTAGAAAATTCAGAAAAGAAAGACATTCATGAATTTGATGAGACTATGATATTAGTATGTTGTTGT